TTCTCGGCATTTTGGGAATTCCTCCTCAGAATTTTGGGAATTCTTTCTCGGCATTTTGGGAATTCAGTCTCAGCATTTCAAGAATTCCTCCTCAGCATTTTGGGAATTCCTTCTCGAAATTTCAGGAATTCCTTCTTGGAATTTCAGGAATTCCATCTCAGCATTTCGGGAATTCCTCCTCAGCATCGGTTCTCTATGAAATTCTCTGTCCTCAAATTCTCTATTGAGCATTAAATTCACTGTTTAGTATAAGATTTTCTATTACTAAATCACCTATTATTAAATTTTCTAATATTACATTTCCTATTCTTATATTTTCTATTTTGTATTAAATTATCTGTTATTAAAGTCTCTATTTAGTATTAAATTCTCTATTATTAGACCTCCTATTATTATATTTTCTATTCTTAAAATGTTCTATTTACTATTAAATTATCTGTTATTAAATTCTCTGTTACATAAATTCTGTATTTATTATAAAATTCTCTAATTTAAAATTCTCCATCACATCAATTCTCAATTTGTTATTAAATTATCTTTATTATATAAATTCTCTATTAATTAATCTCTATTTAGTATAAAATTCTTTCATTTTAAATTCTCTATTATATAAATTCTCTATTTAATAAAAAATCCTTTAATTTTAAATTCTCTATCATATCAATTGTCTATTTGTTATTAAATTCTCTTTATTACATAAATTCTCTATTTATTATAAAATTCTTTCATTTTAAATTCTCTATTATTAAACCCTCTATTTGTTATTAAATTATCGTATCAATTATCTATTTTTTATTAAATTCTCTATAATTACATAAATTCTCTATTAATTATTATAATCTCTATTTATTATAAAATTCTTCCCTTTTAAATTCTCTATTATTAAATTCTCTATTTATAAATCAACTCTCTATTAATTATTAAATCCCCCCAAATCCAATCCAAATTGATTTTCCCAAGTGTGGCTCGTGGAATTCCAGCCGGAAAAACAGGAAGCAAAATCCGGAATTTTCTGGACCCGCCACTAAATTGAAATGGGAATTTTGGTGGGAAAAACATCCCATTAACTGGAATTAATCCCTCCTGGAGATTTCCAGATTTTCCACATGCCAGGAATTTCCAGATTCCAAGGGAAATTTTGGATTCCCAGCATTTTATCCGCATGGAACGGCCTCGGGAGTGACAAAATTCTTCCCGCCTTAATTAACGAGCGTTAATTCCATCCCAGAATTCCTGCTGGGCTCATCCCAGATTTTTGGGACGTGCTGGAAAAATCGTTTTCCCCATCCTGGGGAGCAGAAATTTCTGTGGGAACCCAACCCCCGGATTGGGAAATCCCAAATTTCCGTTGCCGTGGTTCCGGCAGCTCCGGGGGTTTTGTAACGTTTCCTGTGGCCCCAAAGGCTGAAATGTTCTTGGTTTAAAAATAATTTTTTAAAAAAAAGGATCTCGGGTGAAGCTGCAAAGCACAGCCCCAAAAATCACCCCAAAAAAACCCCATAGAAACATGCAAATGAAGAAAAAAGAAATTTAAAAAATTCAATCAAAAGCGTCCCATTAAAACAAATAAAATCCCAGAAACTCAACCAAAAATATCCCATAAACCCAATAAAACCCCCAAAACCTCAACCAAAAATATCCCATAAACCCAATAAAACCCCCAAAACCTCCACCAAAAATATCCCATAAACCCAATAAAACCCCCAAAAACTCAACCAAAAATATCCCATAAACCCAATAAAAATCCCAAAAACTCTACCAAAAATGTCCCATAAAATCCTATCAAAAAAACCCCAAAACCCCCAATCATAAATGTCCCATAAAACCCATAAAAATCCCAAAACTAGAAGAAAAAAAAACCCCAAAAACTCAATCAGAAATGTCCCATAAAACCCAATTTAAAATCAACAACAAAAAAATCCAAAAACCAAAACTCAAGCAAAAACGTCCCATAAACCCCGAGAAAAACCCAAAACCTCAAGCAAAAATGTCCCATAAACCCAATAAAAACCCAAAGAGAAAAAAAAAACCCAAAAACTCTATCAGAAACATCTCATAAAATCCCAGCAAAAAAAACCCCAAAACCTCCATCAAAAATGTCCCATAACCCCAATAAAACCCCAAAGAGAAAAAAAACCCAAAAACTCAATCAGAAATGTCCCATAAACCCAACTAAAAAACCCTCAAAACCTCAACCAAAAATGTTCCATAAAACATAATAAAAATCCCAAAAATAGGGAAAAAACCCCACAAAAACTCAATCAGAAATTTCCCATAAAACCCCAACAAAAAAAAAAAAA